TCTGACTTGGCCCTGCTCTACACCCATGTTTGCCACGTGTCAAGGTGCTACATATATATTAGCAAACATAGGTTCACTCCGATTACAACTACTGTTCATTAGAATCTACCCATATCATAACTAATAATGGAGTATTTTTAAATGAATGCAATGAGAAACTGACTTCGAACAGTTCCCGTCAGCAACGCTGTGCAGGATCCTGTGTCTTCTCATTTCAAGCTTGGAGGCTTGCTTTTTGTCTAAATGCTAAGCTGTTTGGCATTTTCAGTATACAACATTAAGCTGAAATGTTTACAAAGCTAGGATTCCACACATTCCATTGCAAGCAGCTTTCATGTGAGAGTGAAACACTGTTTGTTGTTGCCCTGAGGTGCAGGGGCAATATAAGAACAGTATCTTTCTGAATCCTTCCCTGCCTTCCACACTCCCAAACCACCTACAAGCACAGTCCTGAAAATGCTGAGGTCCACCAGGAGACCTTGGGTGAAGAACTCAGCACGTCTCGGCAACAGAGGAGGTAACAACTCAAGGTCTGGGCTGTAAGATACCAAGTATGCCTGGTACTTCCAAGGCATTCTCAACACTGAATACCCAGCTATTAAGAAAACACAGGGCTGCCTGACATTTAGGGAAGATGGACAAGAAACAACACGCCATCCCACCTGTTTGACATTTAAAGACCTCGTGTCACAGAATCAGAAAAAAATAACCAAGCCTCTTCAAGTGGCTTTTTTCACTGGACACATACTGTTGTCCTACAGTGACTAGAAAGTAGCTAGCACTTTCCCTCATGACAAATTATCACTGAGATTTAAGTATAACAAACGCTAGCTAACATACTGGCAATTTCAGATAGCCAAGTCGTGCAGAAATACTGCCCTCATACCAAGGACACATTCTCCTTTGAAACTCAGATTTAAATATCCCACTTGCAGTTCAGTTCTAGTTTTGGGGAAAGAAATTCCACAAAATCTAATAGTTTAACTGGTTTTTTAAAGAAAAAGACAAAAGAAATAATTACAACTTTGTAGGATAAGTAAGAAAAACAAACATCTTCACACAATCTTGAAAAATCTTGACCTCAACACAGCGAGAAAGTCGTCTCAAATGCTGTGAAGGTAACAGATGCCATCCCCTTCAGTTACGGCGTGGGCTGCTTAGTGACATCTTTGTAGGCAAACACAAGCTCTGGCTGCTTCCTCACACAGCATCCTGCCGCATATCACCTGGTCCAAGGGATGGATTGTGGACTGTGGTCCAGGGAGCTTCCTCTAATCACTGAAAATAGACTCTCTAAACTTAGACACTTCAATTTACCCACAAGAGCCAATTTTGATGAACACTATCAAATTTTTTAAGTCTTCCCTACTGTAAAACCTCAGTCATTCACAATTCCTCCCTCTTCTAACCCTCCCCATCATGTTAGACCCAAGGCAAGTACATGTCACCCTTCAAACTACATCTCTGGTGGTTCTTGTCCGCTCATTACTACCCACCCCTTCAGCCCACACACCCTTCAACTTCTCCCCTCATGCTCTGAAGATGGCAACGGCCTCCCACAAGCTGATTTTCTGAAACCACCTTTCCATCCTCTACCCTTTTCTTTTCCTTAAAAACAATTAAATCTGACCAAAACACATACCTGATGAAATCAGACTCTAAGAAATAAAGTCCAAATCCCTATGAGGTATGAGACTTAAAATCTGATCCCAACCTATATCCTCAAAATCGCATTCCATAACCCACCCATCAGCAAACACCTTGCATTCCAACCTCCATGCAGAAGAAAAGAGAAAAATTACACTTGGCTGGCTCTGTTTACCTGCAGTTCTAACAACCACGAATGAAAAATATTAAAGGCAGAAGCCAGGTGTGGTGGTGCACATCTTTAATACCCAGCACTCAGGAAGAGAGGCCTGGGCTACATAGCAGTTCCAGGACAGCTTGGGGCTACAGGGAGATCCTGTCTCAAAAAAAGACCAAAAAAAAAAAAATTAAAGGCGAGGAAAAAACAACAACAACAAAAACTGCGCCTATACCTAACATATCAATAAACAATGATGCACACACTATTTACAGAGTACCTTTCCATCAAGTATCATAGTAGCCTAGGATTAAAGTGTGCAATACAGAGGGACTGTGAGTGAGCTCTACTAAAAGCTATACCATTTTACACAAGGGTCTTGAACACATGCACTCTGATATCTGCAAGTCCTCCACAGACACTGAAGGACAACTACAAAGTCCATGAAACACTGGCAGGCATTGTCCCTGCACCGTGTCTGCTTCATCGCACCGAGTTCCTTACACTGTGAAGCACAAGCCTGCTGGTGGTCATGCTTCCTATGGACATCCTCACAGCACCTCTCCAATGCTGAGTATCTTCCTAATATCATAAGCAATAAGTATATATACTATCTGGCACACAGAACAAATTTGCAAAGGGCTTCCTGTCTTGTTTCTAAATGAACAACTTAGTAAGTTGATTCATGATAAAAAGCAAACCTCTACCAAATTTAACATTCAACCCTTACCCCAAATTCCTACTTGGGGTCTAAGAAGCATTCTTTACTTAAACCTTCTCACTTCCACCTCTCTCACAAAAATTAAATGCAATGGAATAAATCCTTAATGTTAACAAGATTATTCCAACAGCAAAGAAAATAGGCACTGCTGAGAAGCAGACCCTGGGGAGTGGATTCACCACTCACTCCTACATATAAGCATGACAACCTAAGAAATTTCTAAAAACGGAAAGAGACTGCTAAATCTGTGAGTGCTGAAGGTGTACTGTGCTCCCATTATTAACATCATCTGTGTCCTCTGTACAAATGACCCTATCTAGTGTGGTGAAATAGCAGATCTTCAAGAAAACAGATGGTTAATCAGTAAAGCACTTCCCACACAAGCATGAGGATTGAATTTGATCCCCAGGACCCACGTAAAAAGCTACCTGTAACCTGTCTCAAAAAGTAAGTCAATAGAGGAAGACACCTGCATTAGTTACTTTTTGGTTGCTGTGATAAAACACCATGACCAAGGCAACTTATAGAAGGAGGAGTTTATTTGGCTTATGGTTCCAGAGAGGTAAGAGTCCATCATGGTGGGGAGGCATGGCAGCAGGTGGTGGCCAGAACAGAAAATCCAGGGATATCTTCAGGCAGGCACAGGAAGGAAAGGGAGGGACTGGAAACCTGACAAGGCTTCAGAACTCTCAAAGCCCCCAGGGACGTGCTTATCAATGGGAGAAATTTCATGGGGTCCCATCTCAAAGAGGAAGAACTACAGGCAATCAATGGATGCTGAGGGAGGGAGGATCAGTTTTCTCCAGAGACCAGCTCCCTGAGAGGTTATCTAATTCCAAGTGGAAAACTCTAAACACAGGTACACGAACACAACTAAATGGATTCAGTGAATTTTATACACACACACACACACACACACACACACACACACACACACACACACACGTATGTATGTATATGTAGCAATAATAATTGAAGAGGACAAGAACTAAGAGGGAGTAGGGGATGGGAGGAGTTGGAGGAAGGGGATGGGGTGGGATGAAAATAATACAAAGACAAACCTCAGTAATAAAAGGTCATATGAGCATAAAAATATTGCATTTTTCATAGGACTAAAGGTGGCAATCAAGATCTGCAACCAGAGGAGACTTTAAATAGCCAGAGCAATCCTGAGCACACAGCAAAGTTGCAGACATCACAATATTGAACTTAATAACCACTGTAAAGCTACAATAACCAAAATAACATTGGCATACAGACACCAAAATAGTATGAGAGGATCCAGGGCGTCCTCACTGTAAAAAGGATGAAGGCTTAAAGCAATCATCACCAATTTACACATGGATTACAAAAGATCACATTGTATCTCATAAATATGTACAGCTAGTATGTCAATCCAAAAACTAAAAATAAAATAAGAGGGGGCTAGAGAGATGGCTCAGCGGTTAAGAGCACTGACTGCTCTTGCAGAGGACCCAGGTTCAACTCCCAGCACCCACATGGCGGCTACAAACCATCCTTAACTCCAATTCCAGAGGAATCTGAAGCCCTCTTCTGACCTCCTCAGCAATGCACAATACAGGTGCACTCACTTACATGCAGGCAATACACTCATACACATAAAATAAAAATAATAAAGTACTTTTTAAAAAAAAAATTAAGAAAAATGGCAGCTTAATCAAGAAACAAAATGTCCTTCAAGCCTAAGACAGCATGAAATCCCTAACTACTCTTCAAGGACTCAACCGTCTCCCACATACACACAGAAAAACTCACGACAGACACAACTTGTCTCCTGGTTGACTAAAGCCATCGAATACCACTGTGCATCTGCATCCACTTTTTGAGAGTAAAGCACATCTCAGAGCCTTTCCCCTGAGACATTCACAGGAAAATGACTGAGGTCAACAAGTGGAAAGGGCTGGAGAAGAAGAGTTACCAGGCCAAAGATCACAGAGGTACTTAGATCCATAGTCATCCCAAAAAAACAGGCATCACATGAACCACAGCAATGCAGGGGCGGCTTTCTACTGCTGTTCCTAGAGCTCTGGACTATGCTTTTCCCTAGTTACCCATCATCCTTTCCTGGGCTTCTGCTCCGAAGACGCAGAAATGACAAGATTTCAGGTAAAAGATGCAAACCCCATCCCTAAACGACTTCTATGACCCTGTTTGTTTCCTGGGTTCTAACAGTAGGGTTGTATTCACAACCAGTAACTTCCATACTGAGTAGAACACCATGAGCCTCAACAATTGATGTGATCGCCTGTGATTCATGTGTAAACTGGTGACGATCGGGTCACTGCCTTCTATCTTCATCTTTTTTAGAGTGACCACAACCATGAGATTAAAGACTACCTTCGAATCAGGCTGTGGGTGTGCAGGAATTGTGTTACGATCTGAAAGAACCTCCTTCCTCATCTCAGGACACTACCAGCCAGTGTCGGAGGTACCGACTCCCTAGGGAAGCCTCACCTGGCCAGCTTTAGGGCTCTTCCCACTTGCGTTTCCGTCCATTCCTCGAAGAACACTGATGAAATCTTTCTTGGAAACAGTGGATATCAACTTAGCTTGCTTTCTGATGGAGCCTCCAGCCTCTTTAACCTTCTCGTCAACATTCTTTTGATGTTTCTGAACAGCATTGAATAACTGCACCACACCCCTGAAGAAAACAAAATATCAGAGCATTGCAGGTAAGTAACAGTTACAGCAGAGTACAAACGCCTTCGCAGGACAGGATCTGAGGTGGCTCGGTTCAAAGGGTCTGCAACACAAGCATGGGGACTGGACCTTGGATCCCCAGCACCACATTAAAAGAGCAAGAACAGAAAAGAAAAGGTCAGGCGCAGCGCCTGCCTGTAACCCCAGAACGGGGGCCAAGGCAGGAAGATCCCCAGAGCTTAGTGGCCAGAAAACACAGCTGAATCTCCATGTTTTTTCTTTTTTAATGTAGATTTTATCTTTCTAATTTGTGTCAGTATATTGTCTGCATGTATGTTAAGTGCACTTGTGTCCTACAATCCCTGCAGAGGCCAGAAAAGGGAGTCCAGTCCTAGAACCGGAATTATGGATGGTTGTCAGCCATGATGTGGGTTCTGCGAACTGAACCTGGGTTCTCTGCAAGAGCGGCCAGTGCTCTTAAGCCCTGAGCCATCTCTCTGGCCCCTATGAATCTATGAGTTCTTGGTTCAGTGAGAGACCCTACTTTAGAACATGAGGAGAATGAGAAAGACACCCAACATCACCTATGCGCCCCACCACAACAGACATCTCACTCACACACACACACACACACACACACACACACACACAAAAAAAAAAAAAAACCCAAAACACAGAAAAACATGGCTGGTTTGTTAGCTTATAAAGAGTCAAATCCCAGACCTCCAGCAGGGCCAGGTTCAGGAAGAAGCAAACAAAGTGCCAGGCTACAAGCTTAAAGGAGGCTCATGCTTCAGAAGCAGAACTCATACCATGCTTCTACAAGTTCTTTATTAACTCTCTAATTTTCAGGGAAACCTCACGTACTAGGTATATTAATAACCTCTTTCAACAGGTAAGCTGACACAGAAATTCCAAAAGCTAGTAAGAAGCAGAGTGAGGGTTCCTGCATAGCAGTCTAGCCATGTCACCATGCCCTGGATCACAGTATCTCACTGTGTAACACTCAGTCAGTCAGAGAAGGACCAAAGTAATCCAGAAACCCAAAGTTTAAGTTAACTCCAATAAATATGATGGCAGCATTCTCTAAGCATCAATTCAATGCTGTCTCCTCTGTGAAGCCTTCTCCATCCTTCCCAATCACTGTTGCGCCTGGACAGAGAATATACCCATTCTCAGAGCCTCACGTCTACAGAGGAGAAAAATGAGACCACATACAGCCACCACATCCTATCTATCATTGGACACAGGAGATGATAAATGTTTAGAGCTCATGATTTAGGGGGGAAAAAAAATCAGAGTACAAAAAGCTTACATAAAGTTGTCATAATCCATAAACATAACAAAAATAATCTAGATTCATAAATTCAGACAACGCAGAAACGCAGCCCAAGGTGTGACTGCATTGTTCTCCTGGCTACAAAAACAAGACGATCCAAACAGATCTGTACCAAATACACATGCAGCACATTGCAGTTTTGCCTCGTGGCACGTTCAAAATCTTTGTTGAATTTGGTCTTCAACAACAGATTTAGATGTGCACTGCATGGCTCTGAGAAGGCAGAGCTTAAGAATCATTCTGATCAAAAGTAGTTGGTATGTATTTCTTAAAAGGCAGAACACAGTCGTACCTAGTTGCAATCCTCTGAAGATTTCTCTCCGTCTCTTTGTCTTTGACAACATCTGGCTTCACTCTGCACATCATTTCCCACTCCCGCTTCTTATCGAGCTGTTAGAAATATGGTTAGGTGAAAGAATATTAGGCATTTTGAAAGTGCAGCAAAACTTTGATATAATAGTCTGTGAAAGGACAAAGGTAATAAATCACTCTAGCTTAGTGTGTCACAGGGTTTTTAAAAAAAAAAAAAAACACAATTTTAAGGGTTCAGCTCAGCGAGCCTGTGGCTAGCCCTAGGTGTGTCATGTGAGAGGCTGTCTCTAGCAGGCTCTCTGACAGCAGGCGCTGGAGAGCTGCCAGCATATACAGCCAGGCAATGCAAGGCAGGGCCAGACGGCCACACGCTATCTGCCAACCACAGCATCAGAGGATGCCCAAGGCTCTACGCTACCTGCTTGGCAAATGCAAGCCGAAGCACTCTTTTCTTCCAGAAAGTGGATTCGCCCACACTCAGAACTGAGACTGTGTATCAGTTCTGAAAAGAACAGTATAACATCCAGGTGTTCATGTACTGTCTGTTTTTCTTTGCTAAAAACATTTAAATCCAGGCACATCTAACCAATGTTCTCACCACACACAGCTTTTTAGTCACAAGCTCAAGCTAATGATTCCCTGCTACAGGGAGCTGGAAAAAGAAAACCCCGGGACAACACAGGCTAGTGCACAATGGTCTCTAAGCAGCACCCTGGCCCCAGGCACCTGGTGATACACTGTCAGATCTTTCTCAAGCAGGGACTTCAGTATCCATTATACTGAGCCAATGAATTTGCCACCCATAAGGCCCATAAGCACAGCCTCCACACCGAGCCCTGGAGAGCCTCTTTGATTGCTTGCTTTTCTCTAGCAGCTCCGTTCTACATTAATGAACATGGCTAAGATTCCCCTCTGAGGACAAAGATTCCTTTCTAAACAGACATTTTTCTCCAAAAATCACTAAATGACTGCAATTTAGTGGTCATGACATTCGCCATCACATGATGCAAGAAACAAATCGTCATTTCCATGGACTTGACTGCAGGAACGCCCTCCACAGGCACCTGCCACTCCCTCATCAGCAAGTGCACTCTGCTGCTCCTGGGGGCAGGGCCAGCTCCAGCACTCAATGCTGACCCACAGCAGTTAGAGGCGTCTGGGCTTCATGGCTTTACCCCCAGCTTGAGACCCCATGGAGGCATCTGAAGGTTTGGACGCTTTTAAAACTTGTTCTAGGTTTCCCAGCTAATAAACAAAGGTTCAAATTTCAAGTGAGAAGCTATCTATAAGATTTAGAGACAAAATGTGTCTTAAAGTACAGTGAGACTGCTGAATCAGTAAGAGTGCACACCATGTGCTGTTTAGGAGAGCGATGCAGGAAAAGCTCCAACTTCCAGGCCGAGCGACCAGTAGGGACCGGCAAGGGCATGAAGAGGGTGTCGGTGGCCAAGCCTACTTTTCCTTCATTGCTGCCTGTAAGTTACTCCCGGGAGTCAGTACTTCTACACCGCCAGGGCAAACACTGAAAACTGTTTTTCCTTCATTAGAAAAGAATACTTATTTTAATTACTAAATAGTTTTGATACACTGACACGTTGATGACAAGGGACAGAATGACCTTATCATAGCTTCTTGACTTTAGACTGTACCACAGCCAACTTCTACCCAAATTTAGGCCTTTAATTAAGAGTAAGTCAAACTTCTATCACCAATGACTAACTCAGAGCGTAATGCATTCAGCTTATCAACAGCAAAGTGAAGTTTTAGAATTGTAGCCCTCTTTAGAGCCTCACAGATTTACGTTCTATAAAGGGTTTTTGTTTGCTTTTTAGGAAAAAAATAACTAGCTTGCTTCTAAGGATCCCCAGCCTAGTGTCACCAGTATGTGGTAAGGGAGAATTTCTACACCACCCCACCCCCCAGACGCTACCTCCCGCGGACTGGCCTGATTTTAAGAACCATTCCTCAGCTACATTCCCTACTCCCTTTGCTCACACGCTCAAAGGCGTAATCCAGAACCCCGCCCCCCATAAGATCAGGACAGCACTAGGGAACACACAGACAGACAAGACGCTGAGCACACACCTGCCTCCTCTTCTCCAGTCTCTCCTGCTTCAGCTTTTCTTTTTCTCTCTCCAGCTCTTTGTTTTTGATGAGGATGCTGGGTTTCCTGGCAGGAGTTTTTTTGTTAAGGATTTTAGCCATGGCATCTGCCCAGCCAGTATTAGTTCCAGCACTTGATTCAGCAGCATCTTCATGTTCTTCATCACAGGGTTCAACACAATCCTCACTGTCGGCTTCTACTGCTCCATCATCTGACAACTGGTGTATTTCTGATCCACCGTGTCCTAGAGAACCTAGAAGTGAAAACAAATGACACTCAGTGCCCTAGCGCTGGGCCACTCATGTGCTCTACCTACTTCTGCTCTTGTAAGAAAGGACTTTCTTGAGTCCTGGAGCTGCAGCAATGAGGAACATCAGGACTATGTACCCAGTGCTATCGGTGCGCAGAGGCCCACCCAGTAACCTTGATAAGGAAGGAGCACTGACTCCAAGACCCAGGCAGCAGAAATAAGTCCAACACTCTCCACCACCTCACTGCAGTCAGGATAATGAGACAGTGCCACCAGGCCACTGCAGGGCATGGTGCATGGACCTCAGAAGCACCACCAGGCCACTGCAGGGTGTGGTGCACGGACCTCAGAGGTACCACCAGGCCACTGCGGGGCACGGTGAAAGGACCTTAGAGGTACCACCAGGCTACTGCAGGACACGGTACATGGACCTTAGAGGTACCACCAGGCCACTGCAGGACACAGGACACAGACCTTGAAGGTATCAACAGGCCACTGCAGGACACAGTACAAGGATCTTGAAGGTACCATCAGGCTACTGCAGGACATGGTGCATGAACCTTAAAGGTATCATTATATTTCTTGAAGAGACTAAGAAAAATTATTTTAAAAGCAACTAACATTTCACTACATGAAGAAAAATGGTAGTGTTAGAGTACTATTCTCCTTAGAGATGTGCCTCACATATTTAAAATTCTGAACTTCTGTTCAGAAAAATATTTTTTTTTAAAGTTTGGTTTTTTGGTTTTTTTGTTTGTTTTTTTGATCTTTTTGTGACAGGGTCTCCCTGTAGCCCCAGCTGTCCTGGAACTCACTATGTAGACTAGGCTGGACTTGAACTCACAGAGATCCGCCTGCCTCTGCCTCTGCCTCCCGAGTGCTGGGATTAAAGGCGTGCGCCACCACACCTGGCTTAAAAGTCTGATTTTAAAGAATATGGATGCAACACTATAAATTTGTTTTGGTCAGTTTTTACATGTGGGGTGGGGGTTATACAAAGACACTGCCGTGCAGTGCTGAGTGACTGAGGACATAAATATATGTGTGTTCTAGATTTTCATCATGTAGAACCACCAAGAAGTACACAGGCTGACAGCAAGCAAGTTGATCAGGTAAGCTGCAAACAGCTGGATCAGAGGACCGGCAGGAACAGCATGGTCCACAGCTTGCAAGATGAGCCTGCTGAGCAGCTCTGTTCCCTGAAGCAGCAGCTCTGTTCCCTGAAGCTTAGCAGGCAGCCACTCTCCACCTGAACAGCAAGAGCACAGGCAGCAGCACTGTGCACCCACTGCATGACACTCTCTGGACAGCATCTGCTCCATTTTTCAGAAACCCATAGAACTTAACGAGGAAATGATTCAAAAGAGACAATCACCTGACAGCTTAGTAATTTGGGATATTTTCTAATAAGAGATGCTATCAAAGGCAGCTGAGAAATTAACAAAGAGGAAAATTCAGTGATACACAGTTGCCTTTGAGAAACAAATGTGCTTTCTTCGATTGACTCCTGACTAGATGTATCTCAAAGGCAGAGACACAAATGCTATTACCTCAAACTTTTCCTACCAAAATACTCTATTCAAAACCAACATCAGTAATTAACTATTGGCAATCTCTTGGTAACTCATTTGTATGAAGAGAAAAAATTAAAGTAAATCTAAAGAGCAAAAAGCCTAGGAATGCTCAGTTTTCACTTTTGCCTTAATCTAGTTCTGACAGCCTGGCCCCCAAACTGGATGAGACTGGGAAGCAATCCATAGCCCAAAGCACTCTCTTCCAGGGCGTCTGCTGGAATCCACTTACTTTTACCAATGCTAAGCATCATACCAAAGCCCGTTTCTGCTGCTGAGTGGTCTACTCACTGATGTTACTCAAAATTATCTGTTCTTCATCAGCAAACCTCAGTTTCTTCTTTAAATAAGTTCAACAAAATGTTCCTGTTTTACTTTTAAATACCCTTTTTAACCACCCCACCCCCACCCCACCCCACCCCACCCGTATCTGCTTACTGACAGGACCACGGTAAAGGAAGAGCATGTGTGGTGGACTAATGGACTCTGGAATGATCTCAGTCAATGACCTTAAGCCATGAATCAGACAGAACTTGGTCAGACCTGACTTGTACCCAGTGACTGACGGTAATACATGCACTTTAGTTACTTCTTTGCATAATTCAGCCTGAGCATCCTTAATCCAAAACTGAAATCCAAAACACACTGCAATCTGAAATGTTTAAAGTGCCATGCTGATTAAAAACTTGAATTTTGGAGCATCTCTAATTTTGGATTTGAGGATTAGGGAGGATCAACCAGCAAAGCCTTGCACAACGCAATGTGATCAGTGAAGGGAAATCTGTGTACTGTACACCTCACAACTTCTTCCAAGGAAGCATCTCCTGGGGTCTTCAGAAATAAAGTTTAGGGAATGCAGTTGGTAAAAGTCTGCCAACACTGTCTGCTTAGTCCCTGGGAGTCAGAGCTGCAGATGCCGACAACAAAATCCAGGTCCTAGAAAACCGCTTTCTCAGTAAGCGTTTACCAAATGGAAAGACACACAATGGCTCACAGTTTATGAGAATGGAAACTATCGGGGATTAGAAGCAGAAAGATCTTCACCAGCTCCTTCTACAACACTGACATCTAGTGCTTCATGTTGGTGTGCTTCCACACAAACCACAGCGAACTGCGTGCTTTCTCAGCTGCACTATGAGTGACAGAAAGCTTCGTGCTTATGTGAGCCACTGCAATTCACCTCGGAAACCTTGTCTATTTGTCTTTGGTTGCGTTTCTTACCCAGGAATCACAGCACACATGTTACATGGACACAATAAAGGTGTGAAAAGCTTATAATATTATTTCATACAATCTAAACTCACACTACACATAAAAAAGAATTCCAGGAGAATTCGTGGTTTTTATTTTATTGTATGTGCGTTTGCTTTTTTAAGATGCTCAGGCTCAGGGGTTTTGAGTCCAGCATTTGCTGCCAATGGAAATGATATATGTGAATTTAAAATACCAACATAATGAGATCTGTCCGCATACTGAAAACAGGTTTACTTGCAGGATTACTTGAACATAATGCCACTACGATAACCAGAACACAGAATGGGTTCGTAAATTGTTCTTGTACCCTGACATGAGACTTTACTGGTTTTCCACTAGCTGCAGAAATTAAGCACACACATCCAGGTATCTAAGGCATGACTAGAAATTACCAAACATGGAAAATTGCTTTCACATTCTGTGCTGTCTTAGACATTATTTCTGATTTTACTTTAAAAGTCTGACCATCAAGGAAAACCTACAGAGGATGTTTATTGCAAACAATGATTAAAATGTCCCAATCATGGCATGTTCTGCTGCAGGTCCCTACACACCACAGCCACGCATCCAGCATGAGGAGGGACTCAGCTCTCACTCCAACTTGAAGGACCTTAACTCTAAGCAGTGCACACATCTGCTGGCAGCTCCATCTGGACGGTGCAGGACCAGACTCTGAGCTGAGGAAAGGCACTGCTCATCTGCTGTCTGCCCCTCCCACCAGGCAGGGGATCTGTTCCTGAGCCCAGACATGGCCAGCTGCTGGCAGAAAAGTGACTGAGACAAATTTTTAAAAAGGGTGCAGAGTCCTGATCTGTTCCTGAGCCCAGACATGGCTAGCTGCTGGTAGAAAAGTGACTGAGACAAATTTTTAAAAAGGGTGCAGAGTCCTCAATATTTTTGAGCATCCATGAATGGGAAGGGAAAAAAGTCAGTCTCTCTCTCTCTCTCTCTCTCTCTCTCTCTCTCTCTCTCTCTCCTCTCTTTCTTTCCCTCTCTCCCTCTTTCTCTCCCTCTCCCTCTCCCTCTCCCTCTCTCTCTGAAGAACCCAATAGTTTAGTAGGGTAAATAAAAGAAAATGGGTAACTCATGGGCCAGGCATGGTGGCACAGGCCTTTAATCAAAGCGTTTGGGAGGCAAAGGCAGGTGGAGCTCTGTGAGATGGAAGCCAGCCTGGTCTACATAGCAAGTTCCAGGCCAGATGGGGCTACAGGGAGACCCTGTCTCAAAAAACAAACAAGGAAAGAAGAAGGGAGGGGAAGGAAAGGAAAGAAGCTGCATAAGGCTTGCAGTGTTCTGAGAGAAAGGCGATAAAGACCAGTAACAAGCTAGATGGGACGGTTCAGGCAAATGCCAAAGACGAGAGTCAAGCTGTTGCTTAAAGGGCAAAGAGAAAACATCTGAATGGCAAGGGGAGTCACAGAATGTAGATTCTATAATCCAGGCCGCAGATCAGAGGGCAAAGGTCACTAAATCTATAACCAAACACATCTATGTTACATATGAAATATAAATTATTATAAACATACTATCATTGGCATTCCAAGCTGGAGAAATCATCAAGTTCAAAGGCAACTGGAACTTTAAAAATGAAATACTTAGAAAAGGACAGGAAGTTCAGACTTGCTGAAATGGGGAGACTTGAGCCTTTTTAAAAAGCAGGCTGAGTATTTCCTAACAAATCTCATATATGATCCAAGAAATAAAATATCTCCTAACCTCCAAATTAAAAGCAAGTACTTCAAGAGTTCCATGTGCAGGTGTGCTTCCAATAAGAGGCTAAACTGCTAGTGGTTTTTCCTAGCATGAAGTTTAGGTTCTTCCTTTTTACAGTGCCCCATTGGATTAAAGTTCTTCTCTTAAAAGGCAAAGAACACTTAGGGCCATTATGCTAACTGGATAACCTTAAACTTACTCCATACCTTTGGAATTTACCCTAGACCAAAAAAGAATCACTCTTAAAAACTTGGCTGAGAGGCTGGAGAGACGGCTCAGTGGTTAAGAGCACTGGCTGTTCTTGCAGAGGTACTGGGTTCAGTTCTCAGCACCCACATGCTGGCTAACAACTGTTTGTAACTCCAGTTCCAGAAGATCCAACGCCCTCTTCTGGCCTTTGCGGGCACAGCATGCAGGTGGTGCAATTGCATGCATGCAGGCAAAACACTCAAATGAAGAAAATAA